TTTTTTATTTGGACCATTTCTCGATTTATGCGTGTCATCCTTGCGGCGCAGGGGCCATGCTAATCTTCTCTCTCTCTGTATCGTTCCAAGTTTAACGGATGTCCCGAAGGACTTTTCGTTTTTTTTCGTTTTTTTCCCTTTTTTTGTTACTTTTTTATCTGAGGTTTAGTCTTTTTTTGTTAATCTTTGCCGAGGGGCCATGCTGATTATCTTCTACTGAATTGAACTCGTGATCTGAGTATTAACTGGTACCGCTGCGTGTACCATTGAGCCGAATTTGAGCCAGGTACGATGGGTCAGTTTGGCCCGTTTGTCCTTGTCTTTTTTTTCTTTTTCTTTTTTTGCCCGGTTGTCCTTTTTTAGTCACTCGACTGAGGTCCTTTCTTTTTCCCGTTGCTGTCACTCTCAGAGAGGGGCCATTGTACTTCTTTCTCACGATTCGAACACGTGACCTGAGTATTGAGAGGTAAATGTGTCTGTACCATTCAGCCGAATTTGGGCCAGGTACAACGGATCAGTTCGGTGCGTTCTTCTTCTTGGGCTAATTTCAATGTCAGTAATAAAGTGAAGTGTGAAGTATATATATATATAGTGTGTCAAACAGAACTGCCTACGTTAAACCGTCGGCAGAGAGGAAGAAGAGGGCAACAAACGAGGGGCTGTGACAAACTGTTTCCTCGGAGTCTATATAGTATAGGACGATATATATCGTCAAACAGAGCTGCCTGCGGTAAACCGTACGCAGAGAGGGAGAAGAGGGCAGAGAGGGAGAAGAGGGGAGAGAGGGAGAAGAGGGCAGAGAGGGAGAACAACCAAGGAGGGGCTGTGAAAAGCTGTTTCGTCGGAGTTTCACCGGCTGATCAGGAGGCTGAACCCTATCTGCGTTATTACTCTTTATTCGCCGACGTCAACACCAGTCAAGGATGGATTTTTTATTTTTATTTTTTGGGGGGACGGGGGGGGGGCGCATGTATTTGCCCACTGTGACTTATAAATTTCACATATTGAAAAGAAAAAAAAAGAATCACATAACGACGACAGGAATAGACCACTCGAAATGCACTTCCCGACACCCGCGTGGAGGCTACGCACCTGGCCGTACCCATTAGGCAGGTGCACTCCGAGCAACCTGTTTAAGCCAAAACGGACGTACCCAGGCAGGCGCACTTCCAGTGGCATAGTTTAGGTAAAAGGGTTTGTCATCCTCCCCC